TGCCGTCGGCAAAGGAAACTCGGCTATCAGGCATGTTATCCTCCTTTGTTACCTTTGTTGTTATTCTGTTTTTTTCTGATGAATGAATTGGCTGGCTGGCCTTGGATGGGTTTTGTGTTCAATTAGTTGCATTGTCTCGCCATCGGGAACCATCTTGTCTGGACCTGATCATGAAGGAGAGTGTCTAATATCAGCTGACATTGGTAATGAATAAACAACACAATTCATTCTCTCTATCTCTCTCACACACACACACATTCGCAGTTCCTCGGAGAGAGTATTCTTTAGTACAAGTCAGTCAGTTATCTATCTTCCCCTTCTAATCTTTCTTGATGACTACAGATGGGAGTTTTTATTTTTGTTGTAGCTTGCCCAAGATCCAAATTTGTTGAACTACCTTAAGCTTGAACTGCCTTTCCAAGTTGTCAAAATTTGTGTCTTTGATGTTGGTTGTGGTTGGAATTTGGATTTTCTTTCATTCCAGGAGTGAGCTCAGTTCTCTGGACCCTTTCCTGATGATGGATGAATTTTCAGGTCTGTTTCAGTTTCGGTTGTTCAGTGCATTAGGAATGATAAACATGCTTTCTTTCTCTTCTCAATGGGATGCTTTCTTTCCTGATGTTGGATGCATATGTGGTAGACCTTTTAGCTTTGATGCATTCTCGAAGAAGTGGAGCTACAGTCAGAACAAGAGCTTCAAATCGTGAAATACAGTCTCATCTTCACAGTCACAGGTACGTACGTCTCACTTTGGTTGCAAGTGCTTTGTGTAATCCACTGATCGAGATGAATGCATAATGAAATATACCATTCACACCTCCTTTGCATCAATTACTTTCAGACAGGAAATTCATACCCCAGTCAGTTAGCATCGGGTGGAAATGAATGCATAATCAAATCTCCCATTGACACCTCTTTGTGATCACAAACTTCTTCCAAACCAACCCAATGAATTTACCTTCAATTGACAAAGCAACTTTTTATAAGCATACTTCCATTGCTCCTTCTCCAGTTGATCCATTTGGTCATCTGGCATTATTTAATTTTTGGAGAGCAACCTAAAGTGTGGTTTAATGATAATTGATCTCCAGTCAACTTTGATTTGCTGGTTGAGAAGTGAAAATATTGGAGTTAGCATTAATATAGACGTGGTGTTTAAATGGAGTTGGGCATTTATATAGAATGCTCTGTCAATTGCATAATAATTTGTTTGTATTACCTTGAACCCTTTTGTTCGCAGTACAATAAGAGAGGACTAGAAGAAAACAAAACCCTCCCACCTTAATGAGATAAGGTAGAACTCCCACGTACTGAATCAAATTAACTTTAATTATAGTCCTCTGGCCCATCCTTATGTGGATCAATTTAAAGCTTAAAACACTTGCCATTCACCTAAACAAACCATTCACTTTAACTATCCCATAATGATTTCGGATTTGGCAATTTTTGCCCCACTGTCAACCAGATTTTGACAAAGTTAAGCTCAAATTGAGCACTTAGCTTTTTTGAGATTTTGTTCCTTCACCAAGAGTGTGGTGACCATTGTAATTTAACATACCGAAGCTGGAAATGGGATCACTTGCAGGTTGTGTTGGTTGCAAACTATGTTCCTGCTCTGAATGATCCAATTTTAATTGGAAGCGTTTTGTTTAGATGTTCAGTAGCCAGTCTATCATTTAGGATGTTTGCCATTGTTATGGCATTGTGACATTCTTAAAAGAGCTGCTGAAGCTGGAGGGCTACTTCCAAATGCAATGATCACCAACTCAGATGGTTCCGAAGAGAATTCGTTATCACTCCCGGTAAGAGTTGTTGCGAATGGCTGTGGAATTCCATGCATTGACTTGAGGCAGGTCAGCTCTGAGCTTTCTACTGCAATGGAGCCTGATCTGGTAATGGTGTCTGAGTCTATCGTAGAATTGTGTGCATATTTATATTCATAATAGCTAAAGTCACTCAAGACAGAAGGGACACACAAGGTTAACCATTCAAGCTAAATGTTGCATGCGTCAAGAGCAATGAGGAACGACTCAAACAACTCTTACAACTTCGAAGCAAAATCTCAGGAGCAGACTACACTTGGTCTTCGAAAATTTATGGTTCCTTTCTTTCCAGACGCTCCAGCAAAACGGATGAAGGAACACAAAGGTGGACGAAGCTTTTGAGTCCTTTGCCTTCAAATGAGATCAGGATGAGATGATATATTATTACTTCTTTGGATTTTCTAATTACAATGCTTCTTCTAATTAGTTTTGTCACCATCAGTTGTGGAATACATATTTAAGCATGCGACACTTGATATGTTAAATTTGCTAAATCTCATATAGTGATATGAATTTTTATAAATTCATGCTCAATCAGTTTTGGACAAAAATTTCACTGACGCTACGTAATTGGTATACATTTTTAGTATCTTTAAATGGTGAAGTTTGACAAATCTCGGAAGTGTTGTATTTGAATATCAAATGAAACACCAAAATCAATGATCCAGATGCCCCATATCTCTTTTTAAATATTCATTTGGTTTTCTAATGGGTTAATTTCATGGTTGGTAACGGGGTTTACTAAAAAGGTTCGCGTTTGGTCACTAAAAATATTTAATTTCATTAGTAGTCACTGAAATTACTTAAACATTTCAAGTTTGGTCACTCTTCGTCCAAATCTGTTAAATTTATCTGATGTGGCAGTCAACTATTAGAGTTGATCATTAAGTGTGTGATCTCGCAATTAAAAAAAATAATTTTTTTTGTTATTTGACAATTATAATAGCCTTGAACTCTTCTCATATACTAATGTAAGCTCTTAACAACAGTTTTAACTAATTTACAAGATATATGAGTTATTAATGAATTAATATTGAGTAATTGACTTTCTGAACTATTATTTTTATTGTTGATTGTTAACCATAAAGTTTGGGAAAAAAAATGTGATGAATTTTATCTTTTTGTATTATGATGGCCTTGAACTCTGGAAAAAATCCCAAAGTACACTAGTTTTTAAAAAAAATTCCCAAAATACATTAGTTATAAAAAAAATTCCAAAACTACACATGTTTGAGCATCACCGTCTTTGTCTAAAACGGTGAAGGTCATCACCGCGTTTGACAAACACGGTGAGTACTTCACCGTTTTAAACTAAAACGGTGAAGTGTTCACCGCTTTTGTTAAAAACGGTGAATACCTCACCGTTTTAAACAAAAACGGTGAAGGCTTCACCGTTTTAAACTAAAACGGTGAAGCCTTCACCGTTTTTGTCGGCCGCGGTGAAGATGCTGACGTGGACAGCACGGGGTATTCACCGCGTTAGACAAACACGGTGAATAACCCGTGTTTGTTTGCGTCAGCAATCCGCGCCAATGTGCTTTCACCGTGGCCGTTAGATGCGGTGAGACGCGGATCGTGGTTTTCTTCCCACGATCCGACGCCTCACAGCACCCCACGCCACCCATACATTCACCGCGTTTGGTTAAAGCGGTGAGTTCACCGCGTTCATCAAACGCGGTGAATGGAGCCCTAATAACTGCTGCGCATCTCCTCCCCCCTTCCCCCAAACTATAAATACCCCCTTCCCCTTTCACTTTCAACTCACCCCACAAACATTTCACTTCTTTCTCCCTCAATTTATCCGCTTTTCACCGCGTTAGTTAACAACGGTGAAGGCTTCACCGTTTTTGACCAAAACGGTGATGTATTCACCGTTGTTAATTAACGCGGTGAAAACTTCACCGTTTTGGTCTGATACGGTGAATACTTCACCGTTTTTGTTTAAAACGGTGAAGTATTCACCGTGTTTGTCAAAAGCGGTGATGATCTTCACCGCGTTTGTCTAAAACGGTGATGCTCAAACATGTGTACTTTGGGAATTTTTTTTATAACTCATGTATTTTGGGAATTTTTTTTAAGAACGTGTGTACTTTGGGATTTTTTCCTTGAACTCTTCTCATATGCTAATGTAAGCTCTTAACAACCACTACTATTTTATGTGATATATGTGCTATTTATGAATTAATATTGAGTAATTTACTTTCTTTAACTATTAGTTTTTTGTTGATTGTTGACCATAAAGTTCGAACCAACTATGTAATGAATTTTATCCTTTCGTATTATCAATATTCAATAGGACAATCCCTTGGAATTTCTAATTACTATTTTACTATATAATTGCCTTACATTCTTTTGGATTTAATAGAAAAATAATTTAATAATATCGAATCTTATTAGATATTTAAATAATTAATGCTACGAGTAAGAAGTACACAAATTTCTTATGAAATGTAAAAATATATAAACAAAAGTAACCTACGATAATATGATTATTAAAACTCCCTATGAACTAATTATCAGTAATGTCATAATAACAAATAAAAATTTACTTTCATATTATCAATAAATCATTTAAAATTTTCAAATTTGTGTAAAAATACACTCGATAAGCATAAGATTATACAAATAAATGACATTTATCCAATCAATAGGTCAATGAAAAAAATTGATTCCTCCATTTGATATCTAACAAAAGAGAAAAAGAGGCTAGAAATGTATACAGATCAGTAAAAATACATATGAACTAATTACACGTAATATCATTAACAACGAGTATCACAAATATTACTTTCAATTGTGGGGAGACTAAACATTTAAATAATTTAAAATATAAATATTGATAACCATAATTTACCAAATAAAATGAAATTGATCCGACCAACGGGTCGGGTAAAAGCTAGTAATATAAAAGAGTCTGAAAAAAGGTTTGGATAAAAAATAGACATTATCCTTTTTTTATTAAGGATAAACATGAATTTAATATATAATTAGAAATTTTATTTTTATTGAATGTTAAAAAGAATAGTTATCAAACAATAGACATTTTAAAATTTGTTTTTAACAATCTGAACCATTATAACTTATAAGCATATGAATGGTAACAGCAGTACAACACTAAGTCCATGTTGACCTTTCTGATACTCACTCAATGGGCTAGTCTTGGTCAGCCTTCCCTGCTAGAAAGAGTTCATTTTATGTCATAGGTGAATGATACAGTGTGGTTTGATGAGAGCGAAAGTCTCAAATTTGATGAAGTAATCTATATATGGCACTCAAAAAATCATGTTATACATACCCTTCAGATCATACATCTCAACCTTGTGTGTCAAACCACACACTGTATCATTCATTGGTGAGTAAGCAGCTGGAGATAACTAAATTTTTTTCCCATTGCTCATACATTTTGCCTTCAACTTTCAGGAACTTCTACAATAAGATGTTCCAAGTTTGAAGCTTACTGAGGTGGTAAGCGCAGAATCCTCGACACAGTCTTTCTTCTCTCACTTTTTGTTAAGAAGGTGACCCAGGTTGCGAAGTTCTTCAAAAGCATGCATTGTTTCTGCATCAAATCCTCCAGCAAACTGCATCAACCCAGAAAAGCCTATCAGTTAACATGCTGCCATATAGATTATCAGGTTAACTGAGTATTCATGACTAATTGCAAAAAAACTCTTTATGTTTCAAGCTTAGCAACCTGATGAATTCTGAAAGCAAATCTAACTCCTTGTAGTAACATGTAATCCAATGCAGGGTCTTTCTCGACTGATGCTTTAGTTTGAATCTCTACCGCAACCCTCTTCATATACTTCTTGGCCAACTTAACCGAGCCAATCTTTATCTGCAGCACAGCATAATAGGCAGTTTAAGCCCAATCTTCACTTGAAGCCGCAAATTACATCAAATTGAAGGATCAGCTTTAGCTATGGTCAAAATACCTTGCTGATAATACCATTATCAAGCATCCAATCTGTGGGAATTTGAAACTCTTTGCAATGGCGCATCAAGGACTCTCTTGTTCTCAGCAGGTTGTAGATCGTACGTTCCATCCTGCCCATTCAAAATGAATTCAGTTCCTGTTATTTTTTTCACTCACAAGCATCATTAGAGTGAAAACCAGTGAAAAGGGTATAACTTTCTTACTTCTCAGACAGAGACACCATCTTCTTTAATGCCAAGTCACAAGGCAGCCGGGGATCATCTTTGTAGTATGAAACTTCCGACTCCAACTTTTTCAGATCGGCATAGCCAAATGCTGCTTCCCTCATTATGTCTGCCTTCTTCTCTGGCCAGTCAAAGTGCTTCAACACTGCCCTTTCATCCACCTTTACAGCAAATGGAAGCATACATGGTGATGCTTTGCCGAGAGGTGATTTATTTTACAGTTAAATAGATTGTGTGGCATTCTCTTTCTTTGCATTTTTTATAGTTCGTTCTTTTGTAAATAATAATACCACATTGCAGTAAAAAGTTATGCTAACTTACGAGAAAACCAAGTTCATCATCAAGCCACTTAACAAATGCCACCACATCTTCAATGCTAGGGTAAACAGCAGAGTTGACCTCTTTTATGATTGAATTGACAAACTCAGCTTGGGTTTCAACATCTGCTTTAATCTGCAATACATTAAAAAAATTTATCATGGAACATCATATACTACATCAGATACCAAAAGATTCATCCCGAGATTGCTCTGTTACTTACAGCAAGCAAATGTGATGATCTATTCTCAATTTCGCCAATCATGCTGCTATGGACGTTTGCAACCTCTGAAGCATCACAGGTTCCCCCATTCGAAGCCTCCTTTCTCGAGTCTCTCTTCATGAGTGAATGGTAGAACTCAACTACTTGTGGTGCTCGCTGCACCTGCCCTCCTGTGGTAGTCTTACCTGCAAACTTGGGAGGCGGCGGTGGTGGTGGAGGAGGAGGTGGCGGTGGTGGAACTTGGGCAGTTTCTTCTTGTTTGGTCTCGCTAGAAAAAATCGAACAGGAAGGTCTTGGAGGAGGATTGGGAACACGCAAGGGCCTCTTCTCAACATCCACTGATGCTACAATTTTGTTGGCCTCTTGGAAGTTCAAACTTTGTACCATTTCTAAATCATAAGTCTGGGAAGCTAGTACGGGTTCTGCTTCCTTTCCCATTTCCTCTGCGCTTATAAAAGCATCAGATTGCCTTCTCTTACTTGGTATCAGCTCTTCTATGCTTAACTTGGATCCACTAATGGAGTGCCTCCTTCTAGGGCTCCTCACTTCTTCTAGATGGATCCAACTCTTATCCGTGCATTCCAAGTTTGACAGTTCTTGATCAGTAATTGGCCATTTCTTCAACTTCTTGATCAAACTTAACCTCCTAGTACCACTGTAATCCGAGTAGTCACCATTCTGGCACCAAGGCGATGGACCTACCAATTCCTGACTCCTGCCTGCTGAACTGGGGCTCTCTGGAGCTTTATCAGAATTTCTTAGTTCATCCCTTAAACATGAATTGACCCACCTCAAGTAGGCAAGCTCCTCAACCTCATTTAATCTGCTCATCTGCAGACCCTCAACTTGCTTGCTTAAATCTTCATTTGTGTGTCTTAGCGCATATGCTTCTGCTTTAATTTTCGCAACAATGTCACTCTGCTCTAGTTCAAAGGGGGAAACACATCAAAATTTCGTCAGCAAGTAATCTAAACTGGAACACCAATTGGCCTGATCAGATGGTGAACTGATGATAAGCATACAAAGAGTTAGCTTATCATCATTAGGACATTACAGAATATGGTAATATTCTTCATTTACATCGAGCCCCTGAAACTTAATGCGAAACAAGTAAACAACAGAAAGGGGGAAGATGTTGTGCAAACACCTACCTCAGAAGCCTTAGCAAGAGAAGTCAATTGAGACTCCACGGAAGCAAGCTTGCAAGCTAGATTCCTCTTCTCCATCTGCAGCTCCTTGTTTAGCCTCCTCAGCTCAACCAATTCCATTTCAAGGTCCCCATTACCTTCCCTCCTCAAAACCTCATCATGCTTCTTCTCCGAGATGGAGCACATTTCGGCCATTTGTTCAACAAGACCGCTTTTTTCTGACTCCAGAATCCCAAGTCTCTGAGAGAGCTCATCGATCTGATTCTTACTAGCTTCAAGTTCCCCTTCAAGCTCCAACACCCTTCCGTTCCTTTTAAGCCCCGACAACTCCGCTTGCAACTTGAACTCCCTCTCTTTGGATTCCTGAAGTAAACTCCTCAGCTGGTCCAATTCCAAGAACAAATCCCGCGACCCTGACGATTGCCTCCTCTGGTGCTGGCTCTGATAACCATGCGAAGGGTGGACTTGTGCTGCGGCAACAGAGCAGGAGAGATCGCCCATAAGCGATCGCTTGACACGAGCATGACTGGAAGCGGCCAAATTAGGGTTCTTCTGGTTTGGTGCGTCCGATTTCGCGGGCGGGAGCTTCTTAGTGTTCACTGTAATCGTCTGTGTCTTGGTCTTCTTCTCTGCAGTGAAACCCTTGACGATGTGTGAACCCAATGCCGACCGTAGCTTCGAAGAAGCGTTAACGAAACCCGCTCTCCCATTATTCTGTAGCTTATTTGGTGGCTGATTCTGATCGGCGAACTTCGATCCTCCTCTCGACTTGCTGATCTCCGATGGGTTTTCCTCCCTCATCGTAGTAACACTAACACACGCACGAATGGGCAACCGAAGCCGGGGAAAGGAAAAGGTTTAGCTAGCAGTCAAACTGAAGTTCGGAAAAGACAGATGCTCTGCCTCCTCGCCTTAAATGCGAGTGGTCAAGAAAACTTGAGCTGGTTTCGATCAGGCATTTTAACAAACAGCTGGAAGAAGTGTGGATTTTGATTTTGGAATCTGTCAAGAGATGGTTGGGGCCGGGGAGCGTTTTGGAGCTCACTTGAGTTGGAATGGGGGAAAAGGGAAAGAAGATGATGAAAGGATCTCCATTGTCAGGTCCCAACCTTTGATCTCAAGGACATCAGCTGAGCTGCGGGAGTGAGGCAAAGAAAGCAAAGAGAGAGATTTTCTTACAAAGGGAAAGTATGCAGAGGTTCTTCTCTTTATTGCAAGAAGCAGTAAGTTTGAATTTTTGAAATTTGAAATCGACACTTCTCTTTATTTATTTAGCTTGTTTTGCTGTGCAACCGTTTTGAGAAGAACGAGGGTTCGATATTCAACGGTCGTTTTCTGTGCCACCGTGGGGACTGGGGACTGGGGACTGAAGGTTAGGTCCCACAAGTTCTAGTTTTTTTTTTTTTCCCTTTCCTTTTGGTTTGATCTCTCTCATTTTTTTTTTCCAAGGTTGTAGATCTGCCGGTTAATCCGTTTTGACTATGACCCGGTGAGAAAACATGTCACACATATTTGTCGGATTAGCCCATTGCAGGGTTATTGAGTTGGAGGTCTTATGACGTTGGTTTTTTTTATGATTTGCGAAATGTCTCTCTTTTTTCGATTTTCCTCTTTGCCTAAACCTATTTTTCTAATTCTAAGTTGTATATTGAATATTGTTGTTATATAAGTGTATGAATTTTCATTATAGTTGGATCCAAGTACGACCTATTATTTTGAAGTACTGTTATATGTTATTACTCATAAGTTAAATTATATTTGAAATAATTAATAAATGCATGACAGTATAAAGACCATTTTCATATATCTCCGCTAAAACGATTGGACCATTAACCCTCACCCTGCTTACTTGATTGGGTCAATGAGTTAAACTGGGTTGACAACCTTTATTTTTTGGCCCAAATAAACTTATATAGTCATAATTTTGCACTTGGTGATAATAACAGCCAATTTTTGAAAAATACGTTGATATAAGTCATTATGTCAATAACTTTAACGGTTTGATCATAAAAGTTGACTAGACAAACATATTTTTGTTGACGTGGCAACTTTTCGTGAAAACAACTCTAAGGTGGCAATGTTCTTTTTTATTTTAAGGGTTAATAGCAAAAAATGCCTCCCTACTATAACATTTTCTCAAACTTGTCCCTCTATTATTATTTACATCAAACTTACCCCTCTACAATAATCATATTCCCAAACCTGCCCTTCCGTTAATTATTCAGTCCAAATTAAGTCAACTATGGTTGTACCGACTTTGAGCCAACGTTTAATAACATATTTCTCCTTATTGTCAAGCGGAGAGGACAGAGATCGGATCAGGTTAGTAATCTTACTGTTAGTAATCCAATCCTCTGTCCCCACGTGTCAGCCTTTTTCTTTTATTAAAATTAAACACGAAGGGGGCAATTGGATAAATTGTACCCCTATTTAATGCTGACACTGACGCTCTCACTCCCCCACCCCGCACGGGTTTCCCTCTCTTTTACTCTTTGTTTTATTATTAAAAGAAAAAATATATTATTTCTTCTCTCTCCCTTCTACAACAGAAATGAATCTAACCATCCTAGCTATCTCTGTTCAAATTTCAACTCAAATTGAATGGTGATTTTTTCGTTAAATAATTCAGTGCTAAAGACAGTAATTACAAACATGAATTTTATTATCACTTTCTACTATAATGGTAAAACATGGTAAAATACGTTAAAAAAATTACAAATCTAACTACCATACAATACTAGTATACCATAAGGTATAACGTCGTAAAACATGCAACAGAAATTTACAAATCTATTTACTATACCATATGGTATAACATGGTAAAATAAAATTACAAATCCAACTACCACCACATGCTATAACATGGTAAAACATGTTACAGAAAATTATAAATCTAACTATCATACAATACCACCATAGTAGAACATGGTTAATCGAATGAACACAAATTAATTGTAATTATCATACAATACCACATGGTATTAGAAGGTAAAACCATACAAAAATAATATAAATCTAATTACAACCTTTTACGACCATAGTAAAACATGATATCCATGAAAATACATTTCGTTACCACACTTTACCATATGGTTAGACACATTGCCATATGGTATAGTATGGTAATCTCAATATATATATATATAAGGAGTTCTATGGTACCCATGGTGAAATTCGAGGTACCGCATACCTTGAGTAAGAAAATGCTATCCAGAACTTGAATTGACTGATCTTTCGGACATGATATTATACTGTAACCCTTAAAGATCAAAATCTAGGTCTTAATTCTCTAAATCTTATAGCCAACGATCAATTTAATTAGAAACAATAATCGACGGTTATGATTCGTCCAAATATAGGTAAAAAAATCAATGCACCATCTTAGAGTTTATAGTTTATGATTTGGATCATTAGGACCTAGGGTTCACTCATTAAGGGTTAGGATAAAGTATCATGCCCAAAAATCCTGCTAATTCGAGGTCTAGATAGCGTTTTCATACTCAAGGTATGCGGTACCCTGGATTTCACACGGGGTATCATAGAAGGCAGCATATATATATATATAATTACTACTCTCTTCACTTTCTTTTCCAACTTCATTGTCTTCTAACTCTTCTTTCTCGGAACTGGAGTCGATTACCACCCACTACCACCATCATAAAACTTGTGACCATAAAATACATTTAGTTATCACACATTACCATATGGTAAAGTGTGGTAATATCAATATATTACCTAAAAGAAGGAAGAAAACAAGAGGGAGAAAAAAAAAACTCGTCTTCTATCTCCTCTCATTTCTCCTCCGCAATCAATAACACCAAATGCAACAAAAAAAAAAGAGGAGGAAGGTCGGAATTGAAAATTCACAAACAAATACTAAAATATAAAACATGCAAACTCGACTCATCTAGATCCGTCCCCTCTTGGTAAATATGGAGCGCCATCTATTTTTAGGCCGAGAAAAGAAATAACAGAAGGAAGGAGCAGTTGCAAAGAAGAAGGATTTGGAGCGTCGCCGGATTTGAGACGGGATGCTGCAATTTTTCTTTGTCGATTGTTGGAGGAAAAAAATGAAGAACAATAGAAGAGAACAAATCTAGATCTAGAAAAATAAGTTTAGAAGAGAGAAGGAAGAGAGGAAGAGAAAAGTCTGGTTTTCTCTTTCCTCCATTAAAAGTCAGCATATAAATACTGGAAAAATAAAAATAAAAATAAAAAAATTTCAAAAATCGGACAAAAATGTCCCTGCTCACCCCACGTCAATCCTAGTCACACAGTGATTTCGTCCCAGATCAACGATCCATAAATGGTTACTCACATGTCAGTAACCGCCAGTTACTGACCCTATCTCAAGCCGAGAGGACACCATTGGAAGGTTGTAGTCGAGATTATCCGTCGTCGCTGAGTGCGCCATTGAATAACAATAGGACGGAGGTGTACCACAAGTAGCAGAATCAGCTCCCATGCCGACATTCTCATCATCGCCCACAGAAAAAGAGGAATCGAAAACTGAGGATCCCAAACCTACAGAAAGAGAGGTGTCCTCTCCGCTTTACAGTAGGGGCAAAGAGGTCATTAAACATCGACTCAAAGTCGGTTCAACCATAGTTGACTGAATTTGGATGGAATAATTAACGGAATGGCAGGTTTGGGAGTATGATTATTGTAGAGGGACAAGTTTGATGTGAATAATAACAGAGGGGCAAGTTTGAGAAAATGTTATAGTAGATGACAATACATGAAAAATGAAAATGAAATGAAAACAATTCATGATTTCTTCTTTGCTACCTTTTCTCTTCCATATAGTCTATCATATTAAATTTCGACTAGTACACCTGTCCTTCCATCTACCCGTCGAATTGAACTTCAATGAGTACCCCGAAAATGGAGAAATAACACTAATCGAAATGGAAACTCGATCACGAAGCCAGAAGTCATTGTTGAAGAACAAAAAATGAGAGGAATCTTGTTGCTGCTCTGACTGTGAAGAGAAAGAAACCCGCTTCAATTTAACCTAAACGACATCCCCAAATTTGGGCACCCATAAATAAACAGCATCATCTCTTTTTCTATGAGACATAATGGGCTGTGGGACAAAGAGGAATGGCGGAGTGGTGACGTCGACGAATCTCCCATTACTTTCTTTTTATTTTGAAATATCACATTACTAGTCTCCTATACATGTCCTGTAAAAAAATGTTCAATCAAATTGTCTTTCAACTCGTGATGTCCTAGGCGATCATAAATCTTACTATGTTTTGACATGTACTCCATTAAAATCGGAATTTTATGATCGGGTGGATCTCAAGTAACATTTAGATTAGTCTAATATTCAAGGGTAAATTGCAAATTTGGTCACTAGGTTTACTAAAAACTTTCATATTTAGTCACTACAAATATTTAATTTCATTCATGGTCACTTAAATTAATTCAACCATTCAAGTTTGGTCACTCTCCGTCCAACTCCGTTAACTTTGTATGATGTGGCAGTCAACCCTCATAATTGATCGTTAAATAAGTTACGTGTCAATTAAAAAAGGGCAAATACAATATAATATCCATAGCTACTATGGATCGGGGATTTATATCCTCAACTATCAATATACAAATTAATATCCATAACTATAGTTACGGGTCAAGATATGGCTAACAGTCTGTTACCACAGTTAAATTTGTAACGGAGACTGCCATGTCAGCATCCATATTGGCGTCCACATCAGCAAATAATTAAATATATAATTTTTATTTTTAAATTAAAAAAAATTAAAAAAAATTAAAGTTGAAAAACAAACTCAACCTCTCTCCCCTCTTTTCCCCCCTATCTTCCTCCACCGTCACCTTGCTTCCTCCGCCCTCCCCTGTCTCCCTCTTCTTCTTCTTCCCATATTTTCCTCCACCGTCCCCTCGCTTCCTCCGCCCTCCCCTGTCTCCCTCTTCTTCTTCCCCTATCTTCCTCCACCGTCACCTAGCTTCCTCCGCCCTACCCAGCCTCTGTCGTCTCTCAACTCCTCGTTAATCGGGGCTAGCCGTCCCTCCGCCGGGGCAGCACCACTCGTCGTCCACTGCATCCACCGCTCCTACGACTCCGTCAACTGCCCCGCTGGCGTCGTCCGCAGCAGATCAAACTGGCAGAGCTCATGTGCCATCCTCTCCAGCAAAGTCACCACTCAGTAGCAGCCTAGATCTAGAAGAGAAAATGGACTCGATTTCATAGATTCGGTCAACGGTCACAAGACTATTGACCTGGATTTGGTCCCGACCTACGGTACTGCGACTGCCGTCGACTGCAGAAGGCGTTGACTATCACCAACCTCGCTCTAGCTTCGATGCACAGAGCGCAGCTCCGAG